CGGTCGTCCGGTCGACACCATCCTCGCCATGCGCTCCCGGCCAAACCAACCACTGGAGATACAACAGCTCACGAGACCCCAAAGCCCTTTCCCTCAAGACACGAAGCAGGGAGAGGAGCGCCTTGGCGGGTCAGCTTGTCTGACTCCGACCCAGCGGAAGGAAGGAAGGAAGGAGGGAAGGAAGGACGAGAGAGACAGAGAGAGTATAGGGGGCAATGAAAGAAAGAAAAGAGTACTGGAGCCCCTACGAAGGGGGGGGGGTGGGCGCTTGCGCCCTAGCTCTGCAGCAAGCAAGAGAGAAAGATAGAAAAAAGAGAGAGGGGCGGAGGGGGGAAGGGGGGGCAGGCGATTTGAGTCGGGAAGTGACAAACGGCTTCAGGAAGGACTTCCGAAGATGATGCAGGGAGGCATCAGTCGGAAGGTGGAGAAGTTGAGAAGCGGGCTCAGGCTTTTCCAAACAAGCTGGAGAGGTTGAGAGAGTGGGGAGAAAGTCGCCCGAAAGGAGCCACTGAGAGGCGAGATCGCCGTTTCAGAGTCGTAAGCGGCTAAAATGAGGCCAAAGATTCGAAGTTGAGGGGAAGCAGCCGCACATCCAACAGAACGACAACCATACACAGCTCCCCTGGCTTTGGCCATAGACCTGTTGACTTAAGCTTCCCGCCGCATGAAAGTCTGTAAAACTCTGTAACTCCAGTCCGTTGTTGGGCCTCCTTGCACTAGACTCGCCGGCTGAATGCACTGCCTGTGGCATCTCACACTCATGGCTTGACCATAGACGCCCCGACACCAGATTTCCAAATTTGTTTCTGACTGCGGAATCCAAAAAAGACTTCCAGACAAGCCCAAGGCACTCTCGCACCTCGCGCTGGATCGATGCTTTGCGGCTTCTCCGGGAGGGGTTTGGGTCTAAGTGGCTTCGACAATCGAAAGCTTTTCCCGGCTGCAACCGAAGGTGTGAGATTCTTGGAGCGTTTGCGAGGGTCCTGGGACGAGCTGTTGGCGCCCGTCAAAAAATTAAGGAGGCAGCTTGCACGAACACGGTTGTTCAGGTCTTCTAATGTCCAGCCTGACATCATCTCGATTGGAGCCGCCCTTTTGCTGCAATGTTGAAGATTGGCTTGTCACATAGTCCGCGTCAGTATTGGAGTGGGCAAGGCTTGGAACATAGGGGTCTCTGTATGTTGGTGCGTCTAGACATGCGTGATCGGAGTCTTGCTTGGTTGTTGTGTTGTGGAGTTTGAGATGAGAATTTCGCGATGTCATCCGGAGTTGACACCTGCCTGGAAAAGCAACTTTGACACCAAGATACAGGTCTCAACACAAATTATGTCAAGGGTGCCCCACAGCTACACATGGCAAGATCCGAAGCAGTCTCTCTCTCTCTCTCTCTCGCTCCCTTTCTCTGTCTTTCCCTTGCCCCACTCCTGTTCTGGAGTGACGATAGTAGACATGATGCTTCTCCAGAGCTTACAGGTGGTCCACGCGCTGGGGCGCGCCTTCCGCTGGCATCTTTGCATGTCACAGCTGAGCCTCGGTGGCAGTCCAGCCTCATCCGGTCAACCCTGTTTGATCCAAGATTTTGAGCCGACCCCCGCCCCGAAACTCCAAACATCGAAGCTGTGGAAGCCCAATTCAGGGGAGAGGCGAGCTCTGAAGCCCTGCTTCCCAACACCATCGTGGCCGCTTGGAGCTCGCATTGCTTTGAGCTTGCTCGGTTTGTGGGAGTTTCCGGTCAGTTGTGTATCATACGCTGCAAAGTTTGAGATCTATGACACCCGAACCCATGTCTGCGCGGTGTTTGGCTTGGAGATAGATACATCTTGGAAGTTGTTGCTTTGTCTCATGGCTGTCACACTGAGACTAGAGAATGGGTTCCTGGTTCCGGAAAAGGGGGAACTGTCTGACCATCTGCAGCTAGAGTTCCTCTGCATGGCCGCAGAGTGGCTGTCATAGCTGAGGCGAATGCCGCCATCACCTGCTGTGGCCGGGTCGGCACTATGACGTGTCAAGTTCCCTGTGCTGTCAAGGCTTCCATTGGCCCCCTAGCCTGCTCAGGTGGGCAGAGCTCCAGATGGCAAGTGGCAGCTGCATTTTTCGACGGCGGCATTCCGCAGTTGAAGCCGGACTCACGCCTTTTGATGCGTACGGCACGTCTACAACAAATGTCATTGCGTCATTGCCCTGTCATACCCCCCGAGTGCCAGAATTTCAGGACGGCATTTTTCCGCTTTCCATGACATTGATGGATCGTAGCGAACCTGATGTGTTGGTTCCAGAATATAACTCTGCAGGTATTTGGGTTGAGATGGTGTTGAGTTTGATGCTGGCCTACATCGTCGTTCACAGCCAGAGCTCGATACTCATTCTGCAGGATCTGGTTTCAGGCAATGCGCTGGCGACTGCCTGCTGCTTGGCCGGGAAAGGGAGCCATTATGCTGGTCCTTTATTATGCTTTCATCCAGCTAAGCCGTATAGTTACACTCCACACGCCCCCGGTGCGCTCCCCAAAATAATTAGAAGCTGCCGTATGTAAAGACATGCCATGTTTCCTGCAAGTGAGCGGCTGCCCGGAATTGCTACTGTAGCCAATGGGGCCACCGCACTTCCCCAGCATCAGTGGTATCCATTCCGAGTCTAGGGCATCTAAAATCCACGCTCGTGAATATCGTTGTGAACTAAGTTTTGCTCTCCGGAGCAAGATTCTGGGCTCCCAATCATACCCTTTAACTATTGCTGCAGCTTCAATTGTAAGATGTACTTCTAGGGCTTGAACATGTACAAGGCTGGCTCCCATTGAGCTGCCCAGATTTTAGTGGGAGGGCTTTCCTTATCAGTTGAACCTAGTGGTGCCGACCCAGTTATTTCAACCGAGCTGCGTCCAGAAGCTTGCATGCTACTGCCCAAGACCAGCGTGCAAGCCGGTGGCATTCATCCTGTGGCGTGCTCTCGCTGCTGCCAGCCCTTGCAATTTTCCCTGATACGGTGGCCTGGCCTGGTAAACTCGATAAGGATGGGAGTTCTGGACATGCAGCGAGCCTCCCTTTTAAACTTTGTTATTGGGAGGTTGGCTTGGGTTCTTTATGCGATTCATTTGGAGTCACCCTTCCATCGAAGACGGCCTAAGGTGACGCACAATGCTGCACTGGCTGGCCTGGTGGGAAGGTGGCAGCAAGCGGGGAGCCTGCTGCGGCACATGGCGCATGCTTTGCTCCAGAAAACGGCGACTTAGCTGGCTTAGCCTGAAGATGTGACGTTCGACTTCATTTAGTCTGAGAATACGTAGTAAGTTTCTCTCATGAGGAGCACATTGCTGGTTGAGGTGGTCAGCCTCGGTACGCTGGTTACTGTCCATGGCGATTCATCCCGCTGGCCAGCTGCCCTTGTCCTGGCAGAGCAGGTCAAGGAACAAGCTTTACAGGCATGGGTGCTACAGTATTCCATGTAAGATTATTTACAGTGGCACACATGACGGATGATTGCCACCTGCATCTCGAGTGACGCTTTCTGGGTTGGTTTGCGCTGGGTGCGACTAATCGGAGCAGATACGCCAGCTCAAGTAGCATGGCTTCTTCCTCCGTGTTTGCGTCTCGCCCGACTTCTTTCATTTCTTGGTGCCTGCTGCAGTCCCCTTAGCCGACTTACGATCACAAGCAGTGAGCCCTGCAACTCTAGATTCTAGACCTCAATCTCGACCTCAATCTCGACAACCCTGAGATCACGACGACCATCTGCAATGCGGCGATCAGCGCCTGTGAGGAAGGACAGCCATCGAGCAGAGCGCACAATTGGCAACGGTAACCCGTGTATAGATCTGTTGATTGGTGGTTATCCATGACATTGTATAGCATGTATCAAATCTAGTTCTCGCAATAAGGGGATCCCATCTCAAACAAGCTTGCAAGTAGTCCGAAACCCCAACATTTTCAATTGGCGAAAGCCCGGTGGTCTTGCCTATGGAAACCACGTCCACATCACAAGCTCACGCGCTTCTGCTGCTAGTAGTAGGATCTTCAAACGTTAAGTTGCAGGGTCTTGAGCCACCTTGGAGGAGACCTCGAGGATCTCGATTCGGTTCAGTTGACTTTCGCAGCTTACCTAAAAGCCCTGAGAAAGGAAGCCTTTGGGCTCGCTCCACGGCCTTGCTCTCGTTCTTCGCGCTGCGCCTCGGTTGCTCATCCGGGTGCGATTAAGGGGGTGAGAAAAACTCTGGGAGCATATATCTGACGATCGGCCGTCGCTTCTGCCTGCATGTAAGGAATCTTGAAACGTAAGTTTGAGCAGCCAGTAACTCGAACGACGTCCGACAGCAAGTAACAAAATCAGACAGATGAACATAGCCAACAAAACAAGGAGTCGTGCTTACCATGCGCGTGGATGTGTGAAGTGTCAGTACATGCTTGCGCAGCATGACGCAGGCACACGCAGATGCATGCAGGCATGCATGCATGTATGAGGGCATACTCAGCCGGTTTGGCCCACTACTCTGACCAGTCTTGGTTTCCGCGGTACATATCGCATCTCCGTTGTGTACTGTTGGCACGCCTGCTCATCTTGAGCATTGCTCGTGAACTTGTGCTACTTAAACCGCGACTTGGCTTTGTGCGCTCGCTTGTTGATTCCTCAGAGCTCAAGCCCTTCCAACTGCAAGCCTGAATTTCGATGTGGACGGCTGATTGGCTTAACATCGCTCAGGCACATCAGTCAGGGTTCTAGACTCTGTGATTTAGGAGCCCTGAACTCTACACTCTGTGCCGTGATGGTACAGCGGATGGCTTTTTTGCAACCTCGGCTACACCCGCATCATGAGCATGCCGCAACCCGCTACCAGTAGCAAGTTTACACTATGAGGCTCCCGTCATCCTTCAACGGGACCACTTACATCATCATTATCATCAACAACAACATTACCATCATGACGTCTTCATCGTCTTCGTCATGACGACAAAGATCGTGACAGGCTGTGCCGGCCGAGCCTCATTACCCTTGCGGCCCTGAGCAGCGCACATGGCAAGGCCAGGCGCGCACCTCTCACAGCCACATCTGGAACTCGTGTATTGCTCGGGTACTTCATGGAAGGACTGGGTTCAGGAATCAACGGGTGCCGTCGGACACAAGCGACGTGCGAAGCCTGTTGCAAACAACTGTCAATCTTTCTTCGTCGCCCCGGGAAGCACAGCGTCCTACATCTCCAACTCGTATATCATAGCCGCTTTCCGAAAGGCCGATGTGTGGCAGAGTTCCGCTGCCATTGTGCACTCCATGCTTGGGGAGCATTTGGGAAACTTGGGCAAGAATCACGACTATAGTTGAGAAGTTGCTATTGCAGGGTGCGGTTTTTGGCTTAAGGATCGCAGGTCATGCTTCCAGGCTTCGCCGCTTGACTAGTTTCGTGTACATGGCTTCTTACATGAACTCCCGCAGCTGTGGAAGTCCTGGCAGTTCCACCCCACTGCCGCCGCGTGCAACGGCTTGTGTCCTGCCCACCCATCGATCCGGCAAGCCAGGGAAGTAGGTGCCACGATGTGGATCTACCTATTAGGGATCCTCGTCTATCCTCTTCTTCTGGCCCTTCTGCCATGGACAGGAACATTAACATAAGTCTCGCCGAGCTGGAACATGATTCATCTTCGATCGTGCGAACATGACGTCTAGTTCAACTTCTTGTGATGGTCAGAGTCTTCGCGTTTTTTTTTGATCTCTCCTCGGTGCCCTGGGCAATGTCAACACTACTTGGGGAAGATACAAGCTTGTGTGGAGCCTACGACATGCTTCAGCAGCCGACATTCCGAGTGTGCACTTCCTGATGCATGCTTGCGGCCTTCTAGACCATGCTGCATTGCCGACTGCTTGACCGAGGAGCTGAAGGCTCTCTCTTCCGTTCTGCCGCAACGGCTCCTCGGCAAGAATCTCCCAGAAGCAGCCTTTTGGAAGCGTCGCTCACATGATTAAACTAGCACTGCTAAGCCACCTGACAAGCTTGGGAGATGCATGTCAGGAACGTCGCAGCTTTAAACCTCTCACAGTCCTGGCGGTCTACGCAGTGCTCAAGGTTTTACTAAACCGTTCTACAATGTTGCTTTCAGAGTCTTAGATCGTCCCAGTAGTAGAGCTCGCCTTACGAATTTATTGCGCCTCTAACTTCCAGCACGTCTGCTGTAATCATGACTGCTTCTTGCACTAACCGCGGACTTCGGGTCTTTTGGGTGTGTTGGCCGTGCCTGTCGACTGCCAAACTGGTGGTTCAGGGTGAGGGGGTTCCAATCTGCGAGTTCACTGGAGCTCGGAAGATGGTATTGATTTAGTAAACATGGCAGTCATGTCAGCACTGATTAGCGAGGTGTTCCTGCCCCGCTATCCTGCGCTCCAGAACAAAACTCGGGAGCTGGCCATGTTGAGAAAAGTTGAGCTGGTTAGTAACTAGACTAGGGTTTTGGGGGTATAATATTTAATATAATCATAATAAGCAACCCCCAAAATCGGCTCATGCCAACATTGACACACAGATCCGTTCACAATGTGTACGGTTACGAAGCAGCCCAGCTTCCAGGCAGTCACGGGCACTACAGCACGGCCCGGCTGGGGCAGTAGAAGGAAACTGGGGAAATTATAGTGTGGGAGGCTGGAGGCGGGGGAGGAGGCCCGGCAGGGAATCCAAAGTGAATCTGTTGAGGCGCAGCAAATTGATTTTGGTGTTGTCGGGCCGTGACAAGGCTGGAGGTCGGGGAGGTCCCAGGCAGGCAAGATACAAAAACAACAACTGTAAACCCCTTAAATACTGAAAGAAGGATTTTGAATCTAAAGTCTTGTTACTTGTACTTGTACTGGCCCGAGAGCTGACCGGAATAAAGCGAGATTAGTGACCCGACCCGACCTCTCAGCGACCTCTAGATTTAACGGAATGAGGATGCGACCTGACCTGACCTGACCTGACCTGACCTGACCTGACCTGACCTGACCTGACCTGACCTGACCTGACCTGACCTGACCTGACCTGACCTGGGCTTATATGTTACAATTTCCCCGGGAAAGCAGCCATAGCAGCCAAGTGCCTTATATGAGCGTTGGAGGTTGATGTGTATCCCACTCCACAGCTTTCTGTGTCCTCCACATTGATGAGCGTGTGCCTTCGAATCGAGGCTTGCTACAATGCTGCTCTGAGTGCAGCCGGCCGCGCACGACGATGGACGGCCTCCCTGGGCCTCGCTGCGGAGCTCCTGGGGAGGTGCGTCCTTCGTGGGTTCGCACTTGTCTTTTTACATGTCTGCGTGTGCATATGTTTATATGCGTTACGAATATCGTATACTGAAACAGATCGTTAGATAAAGCCAGCAACTGTGTATACGAAGAAACTCGAAGAAACTCGTGTGTATACACGCACTCACAGACAGCTAGAGATCAGGACATCACGGTTGCATGCTGCGCCAGGCGCTTTGGACGATCAAATGCATGGATGTATGTGTAATTATGTAATATATATATATATATCTATATGTAGACAGGTATACATGTGCACACATGATCATCATCATCATCCTCATCATCCTCAGGTACATATATGTATATAGAGAGAGAAATAACATAAAACTTTGGATGGGTCAAAATGCCAGCTTCGAGCCTAGGCGCCTGACACCGAGACTCTTGGCTGCAGACGGTGGCGACATCGCCACATGTTGCTCAACAGAGTCTTTAAGCCTCGAAGCAGGGACATCTTCTTCATCGACGCTGTTTATGTAGACTTATCGGCACTGTTGAACAGGTGTTTGATTCCTTGCAATGGCCAAGAGATGTCCAGGTGCCATCACTCTCAACTCCCTCGCTGCTGCTTGCGCATCCAGTGTGGAAGGAGAGGTGCGCAGGTTTCAAGCACTGTATGCCGTTTCCTTCATGCTGCGTGTTGTTCGCGAGCATCATTGGTCAGACTGCAGGTGGCATGGGCATTACGCAGCCTTCCATCCACAAATGCCTGTGTCGAGCTAAAGCTGTTGAAATTCAGGGATCGAAATAGGTTCCTGAAAGGATCACCCCACGCTCCATGCACTGCTGGAAGATACCAAACCCCCACACGATTTAGCATACTCGGCTTTCGGAAACATCGTGGGGCAACCATTCAGTAGTTGTACTGGCCGTTTACAAAACTATTTTGCGACTGTGAAGGTTTGCACTTTGCACTCATAGACTTCTCGACAGCTTCGCCCTGAGGCGCGGGCCGTTTCCTTGATGGCTCGCCTCTCAGAGGAGCATCTTCGGGCGGCCCCTTGGCGGGAACAGCGTCGCCGCGTAGAGACGACGCGATGAAAGGGCCGCAATTCGTTTCTATATACGGTTTAGCAGACGTTCCAGGGGTCCGGTTTAATTCGTAGGTCTTTCTACGAATGAGGTTTGAAAGAGGGGTTCACTTCAACCACTAGCCAGGTCTCTCAGAACTCTGAACCCTGAAAGCCCCGAAGGTTCAAGTTCTCTGAACGAAGAGGGGCGGTTCAAACAACACGGAAACTCTGAGTGAGGGCACCCTCACTCGGGATGAGAGGCCCATCAGCTTCTCTGGTTCGTCCCATGATGGCCGGCCTGACCTTACAGAGCGCTTCAGCATGTCGACCTTTTGGGTTTGCGCTCCAAGCACGAAATCGACAGGGTTCTTCAGGTTGTTGGCAAGGCTTCTCGCCGGATGAACCCCGCAAGCCCTGGAAGAATTACGGTGCGGCTCGATAACCGCTTGGGAGACGGACGCAGGGCGCCTGTTAAGTGGATGCATGGCATGAATGTATGGTCGGTGAGCGCATCCGGAAGAACCGAGACCACCGCGGCCACCACCAACAGCAACAGCAACAAAAACAACCACAGCGACAGTGACATCAACGCCAGCAGCCACAGCTTGCAAGAGCAACAGCGAAGCCAGACAGCGAATTGATGTCGTGCAAGGACAACTTTTGGTACAACACCTTGATCACCTCGGCCACGCGGCGGCAGGCTTGGGCCTGGGTTGGATCGAGAAAAATTCCCTGTCTGGCAGCCAGAACTCCAAGCTTGAAGCACCTGGCAGGAGTGGGCCCGGGCCTTGGCGTTGCTGTCCCGGCTACGTGAAGGCAGTTTGGAATTTCGCTCCTGGGAGAGGGGAGCAATAGCATCACCCGACTCTGGCGTTGAAAGCATTGGGCGATGCGTGGCCTTTGCGGTTCAGGTGTTTCGAGACAGATTTTCCGATGTATTACACCTTGTAACAAGCCTTCTAAGGTTCAACAGCTGAAGCATTTTACTGTGCAGCTTGCGTCGTCCGTTATTTTCATCTCACCACCGTCATCCCTTTGACGGCAGCTAGCGCTCGAAGCTGCAATCGCTCTTCTCATGCCTCAGTTCGGAGCCTGATGCAGGAGGGCTCCAGCCTGATGCCATCGCCTGCCGCGCCAGCCTGAGCGGCTGCAAGGCCCCTCCAAACATTCACAACCTTGAATTACGGGGGGCCGGGGGGTCTCGAAGACGTGGGCGCTTGCAAGGCTTGCTACTTGTTATTGTTATGCGGATAGTCGCCACATTGCCATCCTCTTACCACTGGCCGTACTGCTGTTGCTACGACTCCTGTAGAAATTGCTTCCGTCGCTTCTTGTCATGAAGGAGCCATGCCTCCATGTGAGATTTCTGCTGCATTGTCTGGCTGGGTTCCTCTGTATATTATACACGGGTTTCGTAGTCCAAAACATCTCAACATCTTGCTAAGGTCGACGAATTGCAGCAGAGGCTAGCAATGAGCTCCCTTGTCCGAGACCCTTTTACGCCTCTCAGGCTACAGTCAAGAAGAAGCCAGGGCTGCTAGATGCTGCCTGTACCATCAAGTGCAGATGCTAGGTACGGCAATGCTGGCCGGCGGCGATATCTCTGATGGCGGCTTTCGCGTATCGCCAGCATTATGCTCGGGTCTTGCAGAGGTATGCAGAGGTTTGCGAGATGTCAGAGTGTGGTAAAGTGCCAAAATGTGTAGCTGCTCAAGCTCCAGCGAGAATGTGGCTTGCCAGGAGAATCCTTCCTGCGAGCCATGCCCGCCCCATGCAGGGCTTGGGGGCTTACCAGGTGCAGCGCCTGTGGACACAGGGCAGAACGGCAACATGGAACAAGGAGGAGCTGTCTGCCTGGAACCGCATCGGCATCTTCAAAGACATGTCCGACCCACGGGGAGGCCACGTCACACTCTTTCAGAAAGATGAGGATATCAGACTATGGCATAATAACTACGGTGCCGTGCCCCTGACGGGGACAATTGAGGAGAAGACCATTCTTTTCGATCGTGTACGAGGGTCCATCACAGAAGAGGGCATCGACTTCAGCAATGGATTCAAGATGCCTCGGCTAGACCAGCCCAAGGAACCAGATCGGAGGCTGACCTCTGAGGTACGAGCCAAACTACACGCCGTGGCTATTTTGGGAACAGCAGCCTTCCGGAAGGATGTCTTTGAAGAGGTGAAGAAGAGCTATGACTTGTTAAGCCTCAGCGCTGGCCGTGTCATGGCGGATGAGACAAGCTTGGCTCCAGCCTGTGCCGGCTCCATCGAAGAGCAAGTCCCTGAGGATTGGGCCAAGCTGCCGGTGAACGACAAGAAACCCCACGTTCGGCCGAAAGGGAGCATCCTTCTGATTCCTGGCTGGGGTCGTTTTCTCAAATCGATCCCTGATTTGTATGCGGGCCTAATGCGCTCGAAGCTCTGCAAGGCGGGCATACCAAGTGCAGCTGAAATGACAGCCTTCGGCTATCTTGACAAGCTTGTGCAGATGGAGGAGAGGAAGCTCCTCCAAGCAGCGTCCCTCGGAAGCACAAACAGTACACGTCTTGGCATGTCTTCATCGCTGACATGCTTCGTTTGACTTCGTGATTCTAGCTTGACTTCAGTGGTTGCTGGTTTATCTTGTTTTGGGTTGCGTTTCCAAAAGCACTTTGCGCCACATTGGCGGTGAGACAGTCATGAGCTGTCGCTGCTTACGGAAGCTACAGGTGTTCACGATTCAACCGACTGAAAACCGCTCTTTCTGATGTTCGACCTTGCATGACGACATGGTCGTAACTTGTGGGCACTTCTGCACGAAACAGAGCGCTTCACGTCTGGGACCTGTCAGTCGAGCTCTCCCAGAAGGGCAGGCCGAGGTTTCTTTAACAACCCCTATAGCAAGACGCACTGGTCCTAGGATGACGGAGCAGACACATGCCGACATATCATCAGGTACTAACAGGAAGACGGCAAGACATTCAGGTAAGCAGCGTCAACACCGGATGAGGCCAGCATATCCCGCATGCTTTCGTCACATGATGATCAAGCAAATTGTGTAGCCTGGCTCTCAGTCAGCTTGCCTTTGACAAGACAAACCTCATGTCATAATGAGGGCCCGTAGTGGCTGTAGTGATAATTAGTGGCAGGCCGCAGGATTCGCACCACTCGCTTGTTGTAATTTAGGTGTGGAGGATCACGAGATTGGCATGCTGATGCTGACTTGTTCCGAAGTGCCGTCGCGTATGGAACCTGTCAATCAGAACTGCTCCATGCTTTATCTCAAAACGAATTCTTGCAATGCAGTCCTTGAAGCAGACTTTGAAGGTGAAGCTCGGGAGTGGATGTCGTTGTCATGTGTTAGACTGGCTGAGTCGTTTTCGGCAATGAGACTAATGGCCCAAGCTGCCTAGACATCCCGCACAAATGCTAAGGAGAGACGACGAGGAATCTAGGGCCAAGATCACAGCGGATATTGATGCCATCATGACTGCCGAAGTTCGGCAGGGGATTTTCAAGATATTTCTCACTCGCTCGAAGCTGGCCGATTACATCCGGGAGCACCACAGCAAGATGTGGTTTAAGTGCAAGTGGAACCGGCTGGACGAGCTCGAAGCATATTTTAGTGACCTAGAGCATCGCTCCTCTAGACCAGGAGAAGAAGTGGACTGGAAAGCAGTGAAGAAGAGGGGGCCGGCTGAAGTTCTCAATCAACTTGACAGAGACATGCAGAAGCAGCTGGCCAGCCACTATCCTGAGGCTGAATTTCTCCATCTCAGGCAGTTTTCGTCACAGCTGGCATTGGGCGGCGAGCAGGAATACACGCTGGAAGTCTTGAAATCACCGCAACAAATAGCAAAGGCTGGGCTGAAGCTGCACAACTGTGCCGCCAGCAAGATACGACAAGTGAGCATCAAGTCCGCCATCCTCTGTGGGATCCGTGAGACGCAGAGCGGAAAGGTGATAGGCATGGCAGAATACGCCGCGGACGATAACAACTGGGGATTGAAGCAGGCATCCGCTGCGGCGAACCAGCCATTACCTGAGGAGTTGGCGGCCCAAATTCGCGACCAAGGTCGCATCTTCATCAGGGAAGGCATGAGATGCAAATTGTCCGTAAGAGCAGAAATGCGAGATGGGGTAAACCTGTATGGCAAAGTCTATGACCAGGGCTTGTCTGATCGCCTCAGGGGTTTTCTCAAAGGTTTTCTGGGATGTTCTCGCTCGATCAAGTACGCCATCGTGATGCGGGAGCGCCAGTTTTGCGACCCTGAGCTGTTTTATCGGGACGTAGGACCCCTTGCAGCTACATTTTTGTTGCCTTTCTGTGCAGCAGCTGGCAGCCGTGAGCTTGTCGAGCATGCGCTGCAGCACGCGGAAGAATGACGTTGTTAAAGGCACGCCTGTGACGCTGGCTGCGAGGTTGAAACATTGGGAGGTGGTTAACCGCCTTGTTGAGGCCGGGGCCGATTCCAATGTCAAGGTCTCGCGCGGCTCCTCTCTAGTGAAACTGGCCGCGGAGGATGGGCAGATGGACTTTCTGGCCCTTCTCCGGCTTCGGGATGTGCCGGTTTTCGAGTCACTGGTTGAGCATGGCTCCGTCTTCCACATAGAACAACTCGCCCGACACCTAGAGCTGAAGCGCGACAAGATTCTGGCCGAGATAGGCCACGGCGGCCGATCGGCTTTCATGGCTTCTGTTCGATGTGGGCGCGCAGACATGGTCGTATACCTGCTTCAACTGGGGTGCTCGCCAGATATGACTAATGCCAGAGGGCAAACGGCTCTCATGGCAGCCTGCCTGTCCAAAAGCAAGCAGGCCCCCAGAATCATCAGATCGTTACTCGCACACGGTGCAGGCAAAGATGCAGTTTGGAATGGTGAAACCGCCTTGAAGCTCGCATGCGATAGAGTCAATGTGGAAGCTGCGGCAGAGCTCTTGCAGAATGGTGTTGATGCCACGCTGGCGGGGAGTCTGCTGGTTTCGGTACTGGAGCGAGGTCACGTGGGTGTCAGTCCATTGTTCCGTCGGTACGCCGAGCTCGCTTCACTCTTAGTGGACGCTGGTGGCAACATCGTGTTGGAACGCCTGTCGCCCAGAGAGCGTAAGGAGGCAAGAAAGCTGCTGCAGCAACATTCACGGCGAGCGCGGGCCGGAAAAGCCATGTTATCGAAACATGATTCCCGTCGGTCAGCTTGGTGTCTGATGTATTTGTAGCTCTCGAAGCCATTCGCCATGTCACGCACATGTGTAGTACGTTTCTGGTTCATGTCAGATGGAAGTTATCCCTCTTTTCTCAGAGAAGTGATACTTGCATAGTACTGACATTATGATTTGCAACGGCTAAGTGCGTGCGATTCTCTTTTCTGTTCGGGCTACTTTCATCTTCCAGTCGGAGTCTACGTCCACATGATGCAGCATGCTCGGCTACTGCGCCGGCAACCGAGTCCGGTACCATAGGAAACAGCAGCCGGACGGTTGGCATCACCTCGAATCTTTGCACTTCGCGAGACCTTGAACGGTTGGCAATCCGGCCACTTGTACACTGCAAGAGAACGGAGTACTGAATCGAACAGTTCCTGATAGTTCCTGGTCAAGCTGCAGTGGTTTTCTGATTCATAGGCAGGGTGCGGAGTGTAGTAGGGTCCTTACAACCTCAACGGACAAACCTGCTTTCGCAGATGTTTTAGTGGATCCAAAGTCTTCAAGTGCAAGAGGGCTTGCACAAAGGGGGCGACCGTAGTTCAATGAGTGTCGCGGGATCCTTGTCTAAATCGCTTTTACAAAGCCCTATAAATCCCCTGCAAAAGCCCGCCCATGGACCCTTTAATAGAAACAACCCCAGACTACCGAACCGGTGAAGAGAATCGATCCAAAAAATCCAGCAAACGAGCTTGAGGCTAGCTTCGCTGTGCTGGAGGAAGACGCCAGCCGCAGCAGCTTCCTTGACTCTTGTTCGGCCAGTGGGAAGTTTAGCAGCAAGGGGAGTATAGCTATCAGAAGAGTAGTAGGAGTGGGAGTAGCAGTAGTCGTCGTCGTAGTAGGCTGCAGCAAAGGGTGTAGGTGTTCGTTTTGCTGGCGTTTGTTTGCGACGAATGCTGTAGCCAAGCTTCGCAGGACTGGAGCTTCGAACTGGGCAAGTCGTGCAGACCTCTGGGGGAATTCCAGCATCTTCATATTAGGGTAAAATCCGGTGCAACGGTCAGCCGAGCTTCTGAGCCTCTTGTAACCCTCGAACGCTCAGGAACCGGGACTCCCAAAGCATGTGAAAGCCTGCCCGAGGACTGCTTCGACGACTCTTGCGCCTGGGAAGCAACCGGATCGTTGCTGGGCCGATGGGAAGCGAAGGGGTGGCTGCCGGCGACTTGATGCAATTTGCTTTGAGCTGCGATATAGAAGTTGGTGGTACAAAGCTCGTGTGGGCATTCGGCTTCGTGTCCAAGTGCTGGGTGTGATCTGTTGACAGGGTTGCGGTCTCATGTAGGACTGTGCTCAACTATGGTGCTCCCACGAGTTGTTTGTCTGATGTTTTTGTCCAGAAGCAACAGCACCCCCTCAGTTGCCCAGTGGTAACTCAAGTCGTTCTGATGTTGACAGCCGTTGGCCTGCGCAAATGGTGCATGGGTGGCTGTAGTCGGTCTGTGGCTGCAGAGCTCACTTTCGCATCCGGTACCGGTGTGAGACTAGTGACTAGATGCGGGTTGCGAAGCCGAGGGCATTTGGGAATCGTTTTAGAAACCTTGGCACTTGTTCCTTGTTGAAGGATACCGTGGCCGTAAATGCGGCCCTGGGCACCTGCACAAGATGGCGGCACTGGCTGCCTGCACTGAAGCGCCTCGGGTGCAGTCGATTACTTGCAAAACTGTAGGGCCTATATACTCTCAACGGAGCCTACGGAAGCTTAGTAAATTAGGTCATTCCTGTCAACTCACCAACTCAGCATTAGCTACAGGTTTGCAATGTTCGACTTATGCTCCTGCTGGCAGTCCATGTGGCAGAGTGTTCTTCCTAAAGATGGAAGGCCTCTCATTTCAATTTCTGGACGATCGAGATACCGAGTGCTCACATGCTTGCCATAGTCACTGGCCTAGAAAACCTTGACGCCACAGCTGCTGCAATGTGAGTGCAGCTGGCCTCTGAAATTCAACCAGGCTTGAATTGCCCGCGCCGAGTACTGTCTACAGGGAAGATCGACCCCGGCTTTGCTTTTGCCACAGCAGTCGCCCAGGCATCTGGATGTGCATCGCGGGTGCTTGGATGTGACTGGGACCATGCAGCGACTCCCTACCTTAGTCCAGCCTCTGTCTGTGGAGCTGATGATCACAAATCGTTTCAATTGCAAGTATCCACCACAGAGCCATGGTAGTCGACGAGGTTCGACATCCAAGTCAGGTCATCACCTGCACCTCCGCCATTGCTGCCTGCGCTGGGCGGCACTGGCGGTCGGCCGCAATCCCAGAACTTCAAGACAGAGGTTCGAGGTTCATGCGTCCCGGGCTGTGGCTCCTCGGGCCCAGTGAAACAAAGAACAGAAAGAGCAGTCCCGGTCGAAAGCGCAAGAGAGAGAGTCGGCACACCGCCTTGCACCAGTCCTTGTTTAACGAGCCGGCAGCTTGAGAGTTTCGTGGGGTTTCTTTAACTGCTGATCATCAAACTCTGCTCCGACTGTGGCTGCTGGCATTTAGAAACAGCCTCGCCAAACAAGGTAGAAAATCTTCAGGATCCGACATCCGAATATCATTCAAGTCAAGTTCAGCTCTCCGGCTCTCCTATAGATTGCCCAAAATGGTGGAATCTCTATTTGCCCCACAAACCTACCTAGTCGATGGAACAACCGTTTCGCCGTTTCTCTTGAGAGTCGTCGCACCAGAAAGGCTCGGCTGACATACCCGAGGTGCGAGAGTCTACATGCCGAAGGCTTTTATTCAGGAGTCTTGTACGCCCTCATAAGCATAGACAACATGTTCACGGCGCATGTGTGTGTATATATATATATATACAGAAAGCGTCACCC